CGGGGTGGGGGGTGGGGGACGGGGGGGGGCGGGGGGGCGAGGGGGGAGGCGGTGCCCTGGTCTCCCTCCTCTCCAGGGCTCCGGACTGTACACTTAAACATGGGGGGCTCCCAAATCTCTGCCCCAACCCAGCCCCCCAAAACCCCTGTTCCGAGGGAGAGCCAAGCGGTGACCCGGGAGGGCCCTACAGGACTGGTTGACACCGTAGCAGGAGCCCAAAGGCGACACCGCCACTGGGCTAGGGGTTCCCACGGGGCAGCGCCAGCCCAGACCTTGGCACGGGCCAGCCCGCCCTCAAGAGCAACCCTGGCTCCCAAAGATGAGCCAATGAGATCTCTCGGACTGAAGAGGCGCCGCCAGGCACCGCCCTGGCAGCTCTGGGACCCAGCGCCCGCACCCCCAAAGCTCCCGAGCTGCAGGTCTAACCTGGAGCCCCGCGCCGCTCGCCTCCTTGCCTTGGAGTCCAGACAAGCGACGGCATCAACAAGCTCTCCCCGGAGGAGAAGCCGGAGGAGCTGCAGCCCCGGCCGCACGCTCCGCTCTCCGCTGGGCTCGGGAGAGAAGGACGGGCGCTCACCTCCGCCGCGTTTTTCTTTTGAAACTCTTCACCCACCGCGCCGCGGAGCATTTCAAACATAAGTGAAAACCGCTGAAAGGCATTCTTCTTCCGGTTCACTTAATCGCTGTGAACCAACTGAATCCGTGTCTGGGGTCAAAATAGAAAGGTAGCCTGTTAAGGGGCCTGAAAAGTTTCTCTTTAGCAAAAGTCTGAAATTTACTTACTGTAATGGATGTGAGTTTATCCGGGACTGGAAATGGGCTAAGGGGGAGAGGAGTGTCCTTGCAAAAAGATGCTAATGTTTATATAAACGGGAGGCAACCTTTATCATGTTCCTTGATGTCCTCAAAATGAAATCACAGAGTTGCTAGGGTTGTTTTACTTTATTACTTATTGATGAGAGAGAGAGAGGAGAAATCTGTTGTCCCACTTATTTATGCATTCATTGCTTGTTTCTCGCACGTGCCCTGACGTGGGATCCAAACCACAACCGTGGAGTATGGGACAACTTTCTCACCAACTGAGCTACCCTTGGGGCGGCTAGCATTCGGAGTATAGCTCCGGGGCCCATAAGATTATAATGGTTTATAGTTTAAAAAAAAAAAAAAAAAAAAAAAGCTGGTTTGAATGTTGAAAGGAGAAGCTGGAACTACCGGGTGTTAAGTTTACTGCGAGCTCTGAGTGGTTTGAAGGGGGAGGAAGGGAGCCAGAGAGCCCTCCCCCTCCACACACAGCCTCTCTGCACAAACTCACTTCTCTTCCCGCCATTGCTCTTCCCTCCGTTTCTCCACCTCCTCCCGCTCTTCATTTTATAACCTTCATTTCTTTGTGTCTCTTTCAATCTCTACTCTCCCGTTCTCTCCTCTTCTCTTCTTTCCCTCTCTCCCTTCTCCTCTCTCTGATGTCTACGCTCCCTGCATTGTTTGAGAGCTTAATATGTGTCAGGCTTGATTCTAAGCAGTTTACCTGCATTAACTCATTTTACTCTTCACAACTACCCTGTTGTTTATTTTCACCTGTTTTACAGATGCGACAATTGAAGCAATAGAGAGAGTGGCCCAAGAAGTCAAGTGAGAAAGTGGTGGAGGCAAGCCTATAACTCACCTCTATCTTGATTTATTTTAATATCCAAATTAACCAGGCCCAAACAATCTACAGTCTTTCACTTCTAAAAGGCATGAATCCCTTTTTAAAAAATCTTTTGGTACAAAATTCTGTTAAAATCTCAGAAATTTCTAGTGGCTTTAGCATAAACCCTCAAAGTTACTTGTGGTCACCAGGATGAGAAGGGTTGAGGGTTGGGGGTGGGAGTGGAGAAAAAGAGATAGGAGATTGACAGAAATGAACTGAAAACACTAATTCAACTGAACCATTTGAAATAAGTAATATTGTTATTGATTTTATATCTCTGGTTTGACTTTTGCAATTGGAATAAATAATTGCATTAATTATGTATGAGGTTGTGCATCTGTGGACCTACAGGTTATCTGACACAACTGATGGAGAATTACGAATGACTTGTGATTAAGAGTCTTTTAAATCTATGTTCAATTTTAATGTTTTATAACATACAAGTTTCAATTTATAAAGGGGAAAACAGAAGGCTATAGGGTGTTTGTTTGTTTTATTAAATCTTGATCATTCTAAATGTATTTCCTTTCCTTTCACTAAATACATTTAGTTTTAATGTCTTTCTTTAAAGTCTATTTCCACACAACAAGAGTTATAGGACTTAGTACTAAGCTAGGAAGTGGGAAAGAAAACATGATTTTCATAGCTGATAAAAACTTTTCCTCGCCCTGACTGGTTTGGCTCAGTGGATAGAGCGTTGGCCTGCGGACCGAAAGGTCCCAGGTTCAATTCCAGTCAAGGGCATGTACCTTGTTTGCGGGCACATCTCCAGTGGGAGGTGTGCAGGAGGCAGCTGATCGATGTTTCTCTCTCATCAATGTTTCTAACTCTCTATCCCTCTACCTTCCTCTCTGTAAAAAATTAATAAAAATATATTTTTAAAAAAACTTTCCCTGTGCTCACTTCAGCAGCACATATACTAAAATTGGGATGGTACAGAGAAGATTAGCATGCCCTCTACACAAGGATGACACACAAACTCGTGAAGCATAAAAAAAAAAATGTTCCTATGTTTCAAATCTGGGCAGCCTTTCCCACTTTCCCTGATGACTAACACGATCTGACTTCAGAAAAGTTTTCCAATATTTCTCTATACTGGAAGATTTGGTTGTAAGTAATGATGGCTTCAAAGGGCAGGATCATGATACTAAGCATGTGGTGAGAAGCCCTGGTCCCTGGAACCCAGGCTGAACAGACAGATGCTGGGGTTCACCTCGCTCTGTGTGGCAGGGCCATCACTGAAAGTGGAGGGACAAGCCCACAATAATCATCTGTGGAGAAGAAAGAACTGCAAACAGCGTAAGGATCTGGAACAAAATAGGTCCTCAATAAATGCCATATTATTGTCACCATATGTACCTGCTAATCCACATATTTTTGTTTCTCTTTAGGCTTCCTTTTACAAAGGAAAATATTTTCTGGTCAGCTGACACGTGCGTGTGCCTGTGCACGCGCACACGCACACACACTCACACACACACACACACACACTAATTTCCAGCAAAAGTTTTCTCACCACCAAGTCAGATGCCCTCCTCCCAATCCATGCCTCCTGCTGTGATGAGTCAGAAGAAGTCCCTGTCAGCCACCCAATGACTGAGCCCATGTTCCCAACTGAGAGATAGTAGGGTGAAGACTGCTGCCCTACTCTAGATTCCAAAAATACAGGGCAATTTTAAATGACTTAAATCATCAGGGAGCATATTCAGAACCTCTCATGACTTATTAGAATCTTCCCACCATCCTCTGGGAAGAGCACTGCAGACTGGGCTCTTAGTCTACATCCTGTCCTTAGCTGAGGGAATGGCAAATCCTACACTTCCTATACAACTGCAGAGCAATCCTCCCCCAGTGTGTGAAGAGGAGGTGGGAGGGGGGAGAAAGAGGAAAGAGTACTTTCCAATTTTAACTCACAGAATTATATAATGGATAGCCTTCCATTAGCTAGCATTGATTTTTATGTCCTTAGAGAAAGTCACTGCTTCTAACTTTGCTATTCTAACTATGGGCCTCCCAGGGACCTGGAAGAGTATATTTTTGCTTCTGTAAAATAGAACCTTTACCACAGCATGAGATTATTGGAAGGAGTACATGGGGGGAAAGAAACCTACATAGAGCAAATAGATTAGCGCCTCCAATAAAAATAGATCCTCCTCCATTAGTATTTGTTGTATGACTATTAAAGTGTGTGAATCATAAAAGCAAGTTTCCTTTTGTTTGTTTTGTTTTGTTTTGCTTCCCGATGAAAGTTCTGTCAAAATGGTACATAACAAAAAATAATGATTCTACAGTTTCATAATTCTTTTTGACAAGAAATGTGTGTGTTTCTTGAAGGTCATTAGCTTCTTCCCATAAACATAAAGATGTTTAACATGATTAAAAATGGTTTCAGAAAACAATTTTCCTACTTGCTATCTGGGAGCCTGTGAAATGTACATATTGAAAATGATATATTTCCCTATTGCAACACTACTTAACATTTATTCTATGAATAATCAAAGTATTCAAGTGTTGTTCGATTTGTTTAATTATGGCATCTCCTTGAAAATTGTCTGCAACCTAAACTATTTCTTTAAAGAATCTGCTGAAATCATTATGTGAACAACTCTCATTTGTATCTTTATTTTTATTAAAGATTGCACAAACTTGAACCAAGACGAAATACTGAGTCCACCGTACATCATTCATTACAAAACAACACACATCACATTTGTACTCTATCAAATAGGAGATTTTCTTTAAAATTATACATTGCATGCTCTTAAATGCATGCTTTAGATATTTTACATTTGTCATTATTCTCTTATAAATAATTGCAACTTTACCAATTTGTACCCCTGCTACCAATATATATTCAATGCTCCAAGAAGTGTTTGACAGAACAGATGAAATGGAAACAAGTGTATAGATGCCACATCTACCCATTGTTACTACTCTTCTGCCTATGCAGTGAAATGCTAACACACACACAAAACATTGTTTCAAAGGGCACAGGGGAAAAAACAATTTTAAAGTACGTGGCAGTTAAAGTCAGCGCCCTCACGGGTGCAGTGACTTTCACTTTAATGTGATCCTGAACCTCCAGAGCAATTGGCCTGGGCAGAGTCCAGAGGCCTGGAGCGCGCGGGCACCCAGCCCCGAAGGCTGCCCATGTAGCCAGGTTTCTTTAAGCCACCTCAAACCTTTGAAAAAAAAAAAACGACTTTATCAGCCAGGTCCTGCTTCTCACCACCAGGAGTTCTCCCCCCAAAATAGAACCCCCACTTCTCTCTGTCCACGATCCAAACACACACTTTTCCCGGGAGACTGGTTAGGAGACGCGCTCACCGCCACCCCCAGCCTCAGGGTCGCTCTGGTCGTCCGCGAAGCAGACGTCCACGTCGCTGTCGTTGTCGCTCTTGGACTCCCCCAGGTCCAGGGGGTAGTCCGGCTCCGCGCCCGGCCCGTCGCCCGCCTTGGCGAGCAGGTTCTGGCTGGGGTGGCGGGACTTGACGTGGCGCTCCAGGTCCCGGCGGCGCACCAGCACCTTGCCGCAGAACTCGCAGCGGTAGGGCGTGTTGCCTTCGGCGTGCAGCCGGATGTGCTTGTTGAGATTGCTGGGGTCGCCAAAGGGCCGCAGGCACACTTTGCACTTGAGCGGCTTGTAGCCGGTGTGCGTCCGCATGTGGATCTTGAGCCCGTACTTGCGCGAGTACAACTTGCCGCAGTAGAGGCACAGGTGGCCTGTCTTGGGCTTGCCCGCGCCGCCTCCCCCGCCGCCGCCACCCCCCGCGCCACCCGACGCCACGACGGCTGGTGGCAGTGTGCCTACGTCCAGGCGGCCGCGGCCTTTCCCAGCCGCCATCTCGGAGAGCTGGTGCGTGTGCATGGCAATCTCCCGGTCGATGCTGGCCAGGGAGCCCAGCTCGGCGGGGCTTAGGGTGGCCGCCGCCGCCGCCGCCGCTGCGGGCCCGCTGAAGTAGGAGATGGACTCCGGATACTTGAGCAGCCCCCCGAAGTGCAGTTTGAGCGGGTAATAAGCCGCAGCGGCCGGTGAGCCATACAGTAGCTCCCCGTTGTAGACCGTGAAGGCGGGCATGACGGCGGGCAGGTGGCTGCACTCGCTCCCGGGGTAGGCTTTGAGCCCGCTCGCGCCCAGGGCCGGCAGCGCGCAGCGCTCGAGGTGCACGCCCGTCGCTGGGGGCAGCTGCGCGCATCTTGCTCCTGGCAGCGCGGCGGCGGCGGGCAGGGCGCGCTCCACGTGCTTGAAGGCAGACGCCTCTTCCCGGGGCCCGGGGAGCAGAGGGATGCGCAGGGCCTCGGAACAGGGCAAACCGGGCGGGGGCGGCAGCGGCGGGTCCCCCGCGAGCAGGCACTTCGGGTGGTGGTGGTGATGAGCGTGGTGGTGATGGTGATGGCCCAAACCTCCCGCCGCCGGGTTCTCCCGGCTTCCGGGACGCCCTCCCGCCCGCCCCCCTCCCAGCAAACCAGCACCGGATTTGCCACCGCCCTCCTCCCGGTAGGCGTCGCCAAGAGCGGTCGCGGTGGTCCTGGCCAAAGTGGCCGGCCTGAAAGCCGAGCGCACGCCAGGGTAGAAGGCCAGGCCGCCGCCCCCCGCTGGAGAGCCTCCCATGATGCCCAGGAAGTGGCCTTGTCCCCGGGGGGGCCCGCTCGTGTCCAGGGCGCGGTCCGGCTGCTCCTTGCTCTTTTTAGACAGCCCCCACTTGGCGGGTGTCGGGGAGGTGACCGAGAGCGCAGAAGTGGCCTCGCGCTTGATGCTCTCCCTCGCTCCGCAGGCCTGGATAGGCGGTGGTGCCTGCGGATGGGGCCGCAGAGTGCCCGCCATGGCGGCCCCGACGAAGTCGGGCACTGGGTGTTTCGGAGGAAGGCAAAGGCCATCTGCGGCCGGGGCAGCGCCTTGGCGAGGCGCGTGCTCCTGGTGCAGGTAGGCGCGGCCTGCGCTGCTACTGAGCACACAGTGGAAACGTAGGTGCGCCTTAAGGCTGTTGGGGTACCTGAACGTCCTCCAGCAATACCAGCAAATGTAGCGCTCCTCCCCTGGGCGAGAAAGAGGAGAAAAGCGACCCTGTGAGAGGCGAACAAGCAAGATAGAAAGCGCCAGCGCACCCAAAGCAAAGCCCAGGTTTTGACCAGCGGTATGGGGGGGAAGCAGTATTCTTGGGTCCCCGGGGAAAATTAAGCTCGGTAGCCCCACTATAGCAAGGTCCCCGAGAAACCCTAAATGGCCAACTTTGTCATCATCGTCATCCTCTGAAACTACTGAGAGGCCAAGAGAGCTGATCTGGGCGTTTCCAACGAAGGCTTTCTCCGGGCCATCGGAGCAAATCTTCGCTGGGAGAGCAGAGCTCAGGCAGACAGGCCAGGAAAGAGACAGAGCAGAGAGCAGCTGTTGCTTTAAATCAAGTGTTGAGGCTGTGCTGTGCCTGGGCCCATCTGTTGGCGTTTGCAGAATAGGTGGCGTATGTCAAGGAGTTTGGATAAACTAAACAAAGGACAATCTAATGGTCGTGAGCGCCTCATTACCAGGCGAGACAATATCCTGTATGTATGGGCCATATGTAATCATCCCTTTTCATAGAACAATGTCTTTTATGTCCACTGCCCACCCTTTCCACCCCCTCCCAGCCTTAAACACTTTGCCTGAGGTTTTCCTGGAGCGTGACCAACTGAAGGACCACATAGGGACTATGAGTCACAATTCTTCTAAATTATTTGTATCTTTATTTCCTCTTTAACCCCACTTAATTTGATGGGAGAAAAGAAAAAGTCCCATGTCCTGATGTTCTAAAAAACTGAAGGATAATGTTGCATTATGTTGTCAGTTTTTTAATTAATTAATTCCTAGATAGCTGCACAAATCCAAGCCTAGTAAAGTCTTTTAGTAAGTGCACAATTGTCTACTAGGATCTGTGTACATGTTTCCTTGTTAAATGTTTTTTGTGTGTTTAATATTATGAACATTCGATATTTTTTATTTTATCTCAGGGCCTGTGAACACAATCAAGAGATACGTGTATGAAACAGATTCTGACCCCAGAATGGGGTGGAAGCTAATATTCACTCAAAAAGGTCATGTTACATCTGTATAGAGAGCAGTGATCTGCAATTCGGTGTATTTTTAAATGTTATTGGTAATAACATTTATTGATAATACTGAAGGGAAGGATTGATGTGAAAAGGAAGTTAGTTGAACCACAAGGAAGTATACAAAGTAAATGTCAGTCTCATTAAATTTAATAGAAGAGCTAAATTTTCCCTCCATGCAGTTAGAAGCGCAACTTTCTACAAAACAACAATGGGAAAAATTTGCAGATCTTCATCCCTTCGTGTATTTTGAACAACCATGTAAAATAAATCTTGAAGGAGAGAGAGAAGAGACCTGGGTTCTCTTGGTAGGTATGTTGATTTAATCTTTTAAGTAACTCCCTTCTCTTAAATTCAGGACCTCCCTTTCCTCACCACTTTTTTAAAAAAAAATATGTATTTTATTGATTTCTTACAGAGAGGAAGGGAGAGAGATAGAGAGTTAGAAACTTCCATCAGCTGCCTCCTGCACACCTCCTACTGGGTATGCACACCTCCTACTGGGGATATGCTCGCAACCAAGGTATATGCCCTTGACCAGAATTGAACCTGGGACCTTTCAGTCCACAGGCTGATGCTCTACCCACTTAGCCAAACCAGTTAGGGCTCCTCACCACTTTTTAAAGGAGTTTTCAGAAGCTGCCCAGAATGACTCAGCTCAATGCAAAGCCAAGTAAGCTTTGTTCCTAAAACAAAGGGTCAGTTTTCTTTAATCTTACTGTGGAATTGAAATTCACCAGAATTAGTGAATAATGGAAGAATATCAGCCATCCCTACTTATGTTTTCCTCTTTTTAAGACATAAGCAAATGTATGTTTTCAGTTTCAATATATTTCTTTTTCAGTTGATCCTAACCAACTGATATGTTCTCTGGACTCTGAAATCCAACCTATGCCAAAAGTATCAAACGTACTCATAAGTGACCTCACCTGCTCTCCTTCATGGAACCCTAAGGTTGTCAAGACTTCAAGCATCTCAAAGGTGGGAAGTCGGGATTCAATATAACCCATACATTTCCCCAAAGGAAAATGGTATCTGTTTTGACATCTGTTACTATATGACATTTATAAGCTTTATTGGCTGAAATGAAAGCACGGGGGCCAACACTCAAACAAGTTGCATTTATACTATTTGAGGGTGCCTGAGGAAGGGTGTTCTGTGCAGAAATACATGGCCCCTAAAGGCCAGTAGCCCTCAGAATTGTTCTGTAGTTACAGATTTTTAAGCTCTCCACTATAGGACTTTGGTCATGTTTCTCTTTTACAGGAAGAAGTTGACAAGATAATTTAATATAATGTGATGCAAGTAACAAACTGCTTGAGAATAATTTTTATGAATACTGTACATACAAATTTACCCACCAAAAAAATCAATAGAATTAATTTACAGAAGACAGAGATACTCTGAAGTGAAGCAATTCATTGTTTGGATAAACTTATTCTGCCTTGTTCATGAAGTGTTTCTTAATTCCCACATTCAGATTCACTTTTTTAACCCTATTTGTAAAGATCCAAGATTGAGAAGACAATTCAGGAGAAAAGCATGCTAAAATATTTCACAGCATTTATTACATTGACTTTAAGTATTAACTGTGTCTTTAGGGGAAATTACAGATAAACAATTAGCAAGAAAAAAAGTCATGGAAACATTAAAAGGGAGTTTCTGGATCTTAACTACTTTAGCACCTCCCAGCTTTTTCCACAGGAAGTGCTCTTCAGTGTTTGGGGGAAGTTTTGAAATGTTTTTCTCTTTAGTTACTGCACCTTAATTTGCATAAATCCACTCTTGGCTTTGGAAGGGATCAAATAAATCTTAGAAGAAACTGGGATACATCCCAAATTCGACTTAAGTAGGGAGAGGAAAGTGCATAAATACCATTTAAATGGAAGGGCCTCAGTACCTGCCAACTGACCAGCCCTAAGTACCGTAATGCTTCTAAAATGCTGTAGAAGTACATTACTCTCCTTCAAACCAGTGGAGAAGAGATGCCTTCCACCTTCTAAAAGCATTTCAGGTTTGTTGTGCTTTCTGGAGCTCATGATGTGATCACCCTAATAATATGTTACAGCTTCTTTATTGATTATTGTTTGTTTGTTTGTTTGTTTGTTTGTTTGTTTGTTTAACCCTTACCCGAGGATATGTTTCCATTGATTTTTAGAGAGAGTGGAAGGAAGGTGGAGAGATAGAGAGAGAAACATCGATGTGAGAGACACATGGATTGGTTGCCTTCTGCATGCGCCCAACTGGGGCCAGGGACTGAGCCTGCAACCCAGGTACCTGTGCTCTTGGTCAGAATCAAACCCGGGACCCTACAGTCTGAGGGTGGACAATCTATCCACTGAGCTGAACCAACTGGGGCTACTGATTCTTAATTGAGTAAATAGTTGTCTATTTGGATATGCAATAGGGAAGGATGATCCCCATGAAGTTCATGTTTTACACAGAGCGAGAGAAAGGCTTTTCAAGTGAGGGGAGGGTTCCCAAACACCCGGGAGAGCTGGGCTCTCGCCCACTCGATCTGTCCTGAAGTCCCTCTCAGAGGCATACCTTTCTCGTCGTGTGTCGGAGTTGCAATTGTGGGGATGTCAAACCACTGAGCCAAAGAGTTGGAATACCACACGGTCAGCTCCTCCCCTGGCTGGACATCTCTCAACGCTCGGTAGAAGATCTGGGATGCAAGGAACAGGACAGCTTGCTGTCATTTGCTAGGTAATTGGTCAAAAAACAACTGGCAGGACAGGTTCGAATCCTGGCTCAGATGCTGTGTGGCCTTGGAAAAACGACTGGACCTCTCTGAATCGCACTTCCCTCATTCTTCAACCGGGGAAAATAACAGTATCTACCTGGGGCGTTTCAAAGAGTGGGAGCTAAAGCGCTTTGCTCTTAAGATTGATGGCAGTCAGGTGGATAGAATTGGCAGTGGGAAGCCCGCAGTACCTGTCCTCCGGGTAAGTCTGCAATAGCTTCCAGAGTCTGTTCCTGGGGGTTCCTGGCTGCCCGGATTAACCCTATCCACTCCAGAGGGGAGCCCCCCGATTCGTCCACCAGCTCCCCTCTCACCATGCGCACCTGCAACACAAGCAGTGGTCGTTCTTCCCGCGCCACAGCCAGGCCCACAGCCCAGATGGAGAGTTCATCCTCCACCCACCCACCCGATTCGGGAAGATGGTTGTGTTCGCTTTGGCCAGATCGTTGTGGGCTGCTGGGAGGAGGGTAATTACCTAGGACCTGTGCGTGGGAGCGAAAGTAGAGGGGAGGCTGTCTCCTATAGCAGTCCCCCTCTCGCCCCACCTTGCCAACACTAGGGGTGAGAGCATCCTCTCCTGAGCGCCTGGGCGCATCCCGTACCAAGACACCCCCACCTCCCTCTAGCTTTCCCTCTCGCGGTTCTGAGAGCAGCCCAATTACCAGGTAGTGATGTTTGAAAGTCAGTGCCAGAACCCAGAGTGTCCCCCAGCCCCTCCCAATCCAGCCCGCCCCCATTCTCCCTGCACTGCACGGAGGTGCCGGCGACCCAAGCAGCGAAAACGTTTGAACAGAGAGGCTAACCACTGAAAAGCAATAACAGCGCAGTTAAAGGAGTCGTGCGCGGCAAACCCGGCTTCAGACCGGGGAGGAGAGGATGACGGGTGCGCAGCCAGATGCGCGTCCTGCTGGCTGAGCACCTGAGAAATGTCTTACAAGGAAGCTCCAGGCAGCGGCAAGCAAAGCTAGGGTCCTACCCCACCCCACCCCACCCCCACACAGCACACACAGCACACACACACACACACACACACCACCACCACCACCACCACCACCACCACCACCTTCCCTTCCAGGCGGCTGTTCTCAGATCTGCGCTGGCTGGGACGCCTGAGAGCGGGCAGGGGCCTTGAAAACCCCTCTCTGGTCAGCTTTTGCGATGTTGACTGGGGAGTGAAAGCTGGCGGGTTCGCCTTGGCGCCTCCCAGTTGTGACCCTGGGCTCTCAGAGCCCAGCTGCAGGCGCCCGAACCCGGCGCCCCGCGCGGTGGGCGCTCAGAGCCCGCGTCAAAGCTAGCCCTCCATCCATTTACCCCAAGCCCACAGCAGACATCCGCGGGGAGAGAAATGTGGGGGGTTCTAGGAGCTGAGAGTTTCCTAAGGATCATTTATTTCGGAAGTGAGATTAGATTATGCTAAGGTAAATGTAAGCCTCAAATAAGCACATTGAAGAAAAGAGGTAATAAAAGTCCTCAACGCCCTAAGTTGGCTGGGGGGGGGGCGGGGGGTGGAGCATCTGCGGAAAGAGGCCGGGACATCTGCGCCCCTGCTGAGCCCGCAGAGCTGCGGGGAACCACGGGTTCCGAGTGGCCCCGGCACGCAAAAAGCCCCTGGCCCCCCACCCGGGGCTGGCTCCTCTGCGCCACGTCCCCTTCCCGCAGCCCGGCCCCCGATCAGCGCTCAGTTAATGCGACTTTCGGGCAACGATCTGAGTCCCCTTCCACCTGGCACCGTTGGCAGGTAACGAACAACTCAATCACCCCTTTCTCATCTTCCCGTTTCCGAGGCCAGAGAACAGGGCTGCGAAGGACAATGGTCCAAGGTCAGAATGGCTAATACCTTTTTCTTGGGCCCGGGTTCCCTGCGGTCTGACAGGTACTTGCCCAGCTTGAAAGTTCCCGGCACCGGCCCCAGGCGCAGGCCGGCCGGGATGCAGCAATCAGCGCTCACGCTGGTGGCCGGCGCGCGGGCCGCTCCGTGCATCGCTGCCGCCGCGCCCGGCAGGCGCTCGGGCGCTCCGGGTCCTCCTCGGGGCTCGAGTGACAGAGCCCGAGTGGCGCGCGAGCCGGGGAGCAGCGCCCCGACGTGCGTCCTCCGCCCCCGCAGTGACGCTGCGGGGCCCGCGCCGCGCCTTTTCAATCTGGGCGGGCGCCTTTTGGCACCGCCGGCGCAAGGGCGCGGAGTTTGGTGAGAGAGTTGCGCGGCGGAGCAGCTGCAGAGTCCCACCCGAGAGGGTCACATGGAGTGGTTCCCTCAGCCTCCTGCATAATCGAGCCCTCTGAATGGCTGGCGCACAATGGTCCAGGCGACCTTCCCATTCCTAAAAATCCAATTTGTCAAGGGCGAAGAAAAGGCGCTGGTGAATCAAAGGTCCGGCGGGACCATTAATCCTCAGCATGGGGTATTGTCCGCGAGACAGTTACGATATTTTAAGTGACAAATCCACTGTATAATTTCTCCATAAATTTTGCTTCCTTTTATTGTTCGCCGACAAACCAGTTTTGGGAAATCAGTGACTACTTTAAGTCTACTTGGCTGATTCCTTTGAGCCTTGGTCTACTTCAAAGATTCTTAATTCTCTCCCCTTGGCTTTATTGTAAAGGAGATTAAACAAAGAGATGGGGACTGTTTGGAGGACTTGTTAACTTCTATTGATTTCTGGCGTGTGCCATACAGAAATTAGGCAGGTACTTGATGGGAAAACACCAGAAAATACCTACACTTTCTAAATAACGACCATATTACCATTTCAGGGGATTGGGTTCAGGCCAGTCATCTATTTAGAACAGCTTTATCGTCCCCTCTGTCCAGTTTCACCCCAAAATATGAAGCGTTTGACCCAGTTTGGGGAGAAGAGGTCAGCTGTGCATCGTTGCTCTCGGGTATGGGACCTGCACTCCTCTGGAGAACGGGAGCAGCCGCAGGGACCCAGCTTTGCGGGGACCCCGCAAGCTGACCGCACTGGTTCTACCCACTGTGTGGGTTGTTTTTTGTTTTTTTTTATCATGCCCCCTCACCACACACACGCTAAACAACTGCCCCAAATCCTGATTTCTTATACGTTTAAAACAGTGGAGAAGTCCTTGGCTCTAATTTCCTGAGAACCAAGAAACCAAACTTTTCTTTAAAAAAAACAACACCTTCTATGAAAGGTGGGAGGGAGGAGGTTGAGGGGAGCGTTAGAAACCCCTGCCTTTAGCCAGTTCGTGACCTAGGAGAACAGGTACTTCGGAGTTAAATCAGAGTGCTCTTGGTTTTCTCTTAGGAAAGACTCCGACTTGTGTGGGGACATTTATTTTCACAAGACATAGAGGAGCAATGGAGTTCATCAGGTATTTGCGACAGTTCTGCTCGCACCTGCCACGCTCTGCTAATCCCTGGCACTGCTCCCCAGATCCTAAGGACTTGGACCGAGCCTGAGGCAAAATTCCAGGTGAGGCCAGGGTGCCTCTGGGTCTCTGGCCTGGTGTCGTTGGCCCAACCGCTGCACGAATGGGAGGACTCCCAGCAGCCCCACGTGCAATCTCCCACTGGCTCTCCCCTGCCCAAGGAAGGTGTGATACTCAAGCTACTGACCCGATGACTGTCTAACAACGGTGTCAGGACGCAAGGTGGAGACACCTGTAACTCCGCAGTTTGTCCCATGAGGCCCTCAAAGATGCTCCGAGTGAGACCTGAGTTCGCAAGAGTGGACACGGTCGTGAGACTGGGGTCATTAAGTCTGTGCTGTCACTCAGGACTCTTCCTTCCTGAATTGCTTCAGAGCCTCAGTCTCCTAATCCTTAAAATGGGAATGATGATGGACCGACCACTGGGCCTCCGCCCACTAAGCTTGTGAAGGTCAATAGCAATGATCGGTAGAGTGAAAGGGTTCGGGACGCTCCAAAACTTGTGGTTTGCTTAACGGCCAGGCCTACAGGACACATGGCTGGCCGGCCTGTGTAGACCCAGCTGCTGGGGCGAAGCAGAGAGCCGCTGGCGGGCCTGCGTGGCCATGAGTTGCGGTTCCTCCGACCCTGCGGCCACACCCTGCCCAGATGCCCCTGGCTTTTCCTCTCCAGCGCCCCTCTGCCAGCCGCGGAGGCTGCCTGCCCCGGAGAGGAGGAAGCCTTTGATCCGGCGGCCCATGAATGGCAAAAGCCGGGGGAGGGGAGGCGGAGAGGAAACCGCTCCGCAGAGTCGAGGCCAATAAATTTAAGCCATGAACATGTCCCTCTAACCTCTGGCCTGGCGACTCCGGGATGACACCCAGTTTAAATTACCAGCGCTGTGAGCGGGAAAGGGCGAGCGCGGAGCCTGGGTTCGGGCTCCTCCCTGCACCTCCTTAATGAGTGAAAAAGCGTGAACGACACGCGAACAATTTTATCAATAGGACCATGTAAAGGCCGACTGTGAGGAAAGTTATTTATTAATATAGCCGATTGTGGCTGGTTCCCAGCCCCGAGAGAAGAAAGGGCCTGCGCCAGAGGCATTCACACCAGCTCGCCGAGTTTTATTCTGTCCTGTGGCTCGGAGTTGAAGTTCCCCAAGTGAAATAAATTGTCCACAAAGGAGGAAAGGAACACATTTTCTTTTATTTTTCCTCCCCTAAAAAGCAAGGGTGAAACCAATCTAATGTGCCCAGTGGAGCAAGATGGGCCGTGAAAGGCTGGGTGTTAAAAGTAAAAGCGGGCTGTGCAGCAAATGGGATGGAAAATTAAATGAAATTAAATAGCTTGAACGGCCGTATTGTCCCTTATTAAAAAGACACATTAATTACATGGTCTCCGCCTTATTCAAAGACAATGTTGAGACTCAATCAAAACATTCCACTCGGCTTTTTTTATGGACTTAAAATGGGCGTCCGGAGGCCCCGTTAGTGCGAAATCCCTTCTGCACCGAGACGCGGGGAGAAGCGGTTTCGGGGCCGCCCTGCTCTGCGCACCGCGGGACCACGCAGGCAGGACTCGCGGCCCGGAACCGGCTGCCCCTGGCGAGGCCGGGTTCTCCGCGCAGCAGCCCGCAGCCGGGCGGCTCTCCCGGCCGCCTCCCGCCGCCTCCCGCCGCCTCCCGCCGCCTCCCGCCGCCGCCAAAGGCCGGGCTGCGCTAGGGGCCGCCCCCGCCCGCTCCGGGATTCGTCCAGGCGCCGGGCTCCAGTGCAGCCCGCCCGGCACACCTGTGGCTTGCCGGGACTCCGCCTCGAGGAAATTCGGGGTTGCCATCAGCGGCTCCGTTTGGAACACCTTTCGCCAGAGCTGCTGGCCTCTGGGATACAAAGCTCTTGGCAGCGGTTCTCAACCTGTGGATCCAACGACCCTTTCACAGGAGTCGCCTAAGACCATCGGAAAACACATATATAATTACATATTGTTTTTGTGATTAATCACTATGCTTTAATTATGTTCAACTTGTAACAATGAAATTGGGGGTCACCACAACGTGAGGCACTGTATTAAAGGGTCGCGGCATTAGGAAGGTTGAGAACCACTGCTTCAGGTCCCCAGGGTGGCCCAGCTGTGGCCCTAGGGCTTAGTCACCAACCCCCTCTCCCCCTCTCACCTCCCCGCCCCGACTCTGGAGGTGCGCAGATCCTGTACCCGGAGTTGGAGATGCTTGGAATCTAGGACTACAGGCTAGGCCGCGGGGGGGGGGGGGGGGGGCGGGGGGGACGGGGCGGGGGGAGGACGAGAGCGGGGGAGGGGGGAGAGCCTGGAGTTGGGGTCTGAGATGGCCCGGGCCGCACCCCCCCCCACCCCCACCAGGGTGTCCGCGCCCGCAAGGCCACCGGGTCAGCGCGGACCAGCTGCGAGGCCCCAGAGGCGCGGGTGGGACATTAAGGCCGGGCCTGAATGGGGCGGCAGCGACGGGCTCTGGGAACGCCACCAGATGACACGCCGGCAACCGGGCCATTTTCCCCTTAATTGCGAGGCCGGTGGGTGCACCGCGGCCGGGAGGTTCCAATCGCGCCTCTAGGACGCTGCCCGGACGCCGCCGGTGGGTTTTGCGGTGCCTTTTTTGTTGCTTTTTAAGTCCTTCCTTGGAAGCGGCTCCGTAAGTATATTCAGAGTTCCCCCTCAAGTTGCCTTTTAACCGGAGTTCCCCAACTTATTTCTTGGCTCTTTCGGTTGACATGGTGCAAAGAAAAGTCAAGCGAGCATGTTGCTGAATTGCAATGTCTCGGGGCACCTCCACATTCAGCGCTCCTCTGCGGCCGCTGCCGAGGGAGCCCGCACTCAATTCGATTTTCCTTGCTGTTGGGCACATTTAGGAGCGCTTCTATTTGTGAAGTTCATTTTTAGGCAAATGTATTCAAGAGCTGATGGGAATGAATAGGACCGTGTGTCAGCCGCCCCTAATTGGGATTAAAGCACTTAGGAGCATATGCAGAGAGTGACAGAAATTCTCAGGTTGCATTGTGTTCAGACTTCCACCCGCTTGGACACTCCTCCTCCAAGGGAGATTTATAAAGCTTGCCGGGAGAAACTGAGGAAAGAAAAGCGAAACGGAAAAGAACCCGCCTACTGGCTCGCGGTGGGGCCGCGGTTCAGCAAGTGGTGGTGACAGCTTCGGAGAAAAGATGCTGGGGGATAATTGAACGCGGGCGGGGGAGCGGGTCTGAACTCTTTAATCAGAAAGGCGGAGAGTTAAAAGGCGAAATAAAGATGTTCTTGAGATTCCCAGACGGTTTTTTTCCCTTCCCCTTGAAGAGCTGGCTTTCTTTCTTCTTTATCTCTGCCTCCCACCCCCTCCCCCAAAGAATGTACCCTCTCTTGGGGCAATAATAAGGACAATTTGGTATTTGAATTGGGCGGGCGGGGGTGGGGGGGCGGGGGGGGGGCCTGGAGGGGGAAGTCAAAAGAAACAAAAGTATCTTCTTTTGTATGTTAAAGAGAACTTCACAACCACTAAGTCAATGAAAATATTTCCTGCTGTATGTGTGTGTGTGTGTGTGTGTGTGTGTGTGTGTGTGTGTAAAATATACATCCTCTATGTTAAAACACTAG